TTTCCTCGATGTTTACACAATCTCAAGCGATATACTTTATGTCTAAAATCAGCAATTTAGTGTGCATTAGTAGGACTGACGTAGAAAATTATTCCTAAGACAACGATATGTCATTTCGATTTCGTAACCTCGATCTTCGTGAAGATTATAGTTCTTGGTTTGAGAGTGAAAAAAATGTTTTGCCGCAATAATCTTACCTTAGAAGTCAAGATACTCCCGCATGTCTAATTCCCCTCGAAGTACCCTCTTCAATTCCATGCAAAATTTAACAGGCAGATTAAGTCGGATCGAATATAACAGGCGCACTTGATTTAAGGCCAATTTGACACAACTATTGAATCTGGTTGCAGAGCGTTTAAAACAATAGACTAGATGGACAGGTTAGAACTCTTTCAAGTGGTCGAATCAGGAATAAATTAGCTTAAATGATGCCTTTGTTGTGATGAATCGTTACATTTTCAAAGCTTTATTATTTTTCTTTTCTGAGTGCTCCCCCAAGTTTAAACCAATCCATATGACCATGAAAGTGACTTTCCCCTAAAGTGTAACGGCCTCCGCCACTTTTAAATTAGTGGCTTGTTTCAATTTTCAAGGGTACAATGTTTGGTTACCACAGGCAATCGTATTTTTATTGACGATGTTATCCGGGAAGAGCTCACAAGAAGGCAATAACATCAAATTGCAACAGAAACAAGGATTCAAAGTAAATTTGGAGTACACCGCACCGTGAGGCAAAACCAGGCCGGTGGAGGCTGCCTCGCAGTATATGTTGGTTGAAACAATGGGGAAAGAAAAATGGTCGGATCAAGAGTTTTTCACCATTCCACAAACTGAGTCGAGAGCGCCCTCGGTTTGTGCCCATCTCGGCCTCGTCCCAAGTTTTAAACTAAGATGAAAAAAATTAATTAATTAATTAAAAAAAAAATGTATAAAACAACAGAAAATAAGTAGAAACCCTTGAGCACCTTTTCTTTCTTTTTCCCATCGTCCCCTTCTTCCCCTCTTCATAGTGTTACTAGTCTCCCTCGACTTAATGACAGCAGGGGGAAAAATGCTACACGACTTTGGACCAGTCACTGGGACCACAGAGGCTTCTAAGTTTTTAAATACTAATTGGTTTTGACACACACACACACACACACACTCACACACACACACACACACACACACACACACACACACACACACACACACATACATACATCATACATACATACATACATACATACATACATACCAATGCTCACTTGTGAGGACCATGTATGTATGCCTGCATTCTGGGGACACCCATTTCCCCGTCAGGTAGGTAAATAAAGATATGTGCATTTCAAAGTACTCCTCGCGAACGTTTCTCCCGACACATGACATCTTTAAAAATTTCAATCCTTCCCTGTGGGGACAAATACCCATTGTGCTTGTGGGGACATTTTCAAATCTCAGTTTTAACATCAACATTATGTGGACCCATATATAATTTTATTTTAAAAGATGGGATTGACCACCAGCAAGGTTTGGGCCTTTCATCTACCCTCTCAGATAGGATATTTTGGGTCACGATTTTTCAAACATATTGAATACTACATGTACTCTGTGGGGACAATCACACTGTTTCAGCAAACTGTTGTTTTTTTATCCCGCAGTTTCAAAGTACAGCTGATCCAGGTTAATGACACTAAATAGACATACCATATAAAGCGGACCGTAAGAAAAAACGTCACCGACATACGACCTTTCAATAAAGACTAAATCAATTACTTCTCCGAGAAAACAGTTTCATTTTTAACTGGAACTGTAAGAAGTTCATGTAATATATGGAAACCTAAAATTAGTTTTAATGAGTATTGTTCTTGAAACACAAGAAATGAAATTACTATACTTGAAAAAGGCCGTGACACTTCTTTACACTTAAAATGTCATGCTTCTTTGCTGCTGTTTGTTTGTTGACTGAACCATATTTGCTTACGATACAATCGTAACAATTAGAATAGACCGTTGCGCACATAGCCAGTGTCCGTATAGCGAGGTTGACGATGCATGAGGTTGTGACTCAGGACACAGGAAAGTGTCCGTTGTCCGTATTAACCGGTGTCCGTATTAAGCGGGTTAATTTAAGAGAAAATATATGAGCTTTTCGTTGGGACAAACGGAAGTGTCCATATTAAGCGGTGTCTGTAGAGCGGGGTCTTCCTGTAGAGAAGACACAATAACTTTCCACAAAAATAACTTTGATATGGCGTGTTTCAAAATTAATACAATCAGTTAGTTATGCCTACGCTGACAGTTCAAAAACTCAAATCTATTTCTATCTATTGCTTGAGAAAATGATATTCCTTAAGTGATCCTTAACAATTGACTAAGATAAACATTCTGTTACTTTGTACTGTACAGCTTTTAACATCCAGTTGTTTTCTTGCAGAGTATTTGCTTGAGAATCTCGGTCCATTACTATTTGCCATTTACATCAACGATCTACCCAAGGTCCTTCGGAACACTACGGTCACCTTATTCGCTGATGACACTGCTATCTACTGCTCTTCTCAATCAGCCCGTGACCTACAGACCATGTTGAATCAGGATCTGGACAGGCTAGCTCAGTGGCTCTACGAGCATAAACTTACACTAAATATCTCGAAGTCTAAATTCATGCTCATTGGCGGTCCAAGGAAACTTAACACCTTAGAAGAATTCACATTAATAATCAAGGAGAAGGAGTTAGACAGAGTCAATTCGTTCAAGTATCTGGGCGTAATTATCAATGAGAATCTGACTTGGACTGATCACGTGGATTACATTAAGACCAAAGTGTCTCAGAGGCTTGGCGTTTTACAGAGAATAAAACATCTTATGCCAAGAAATACAAGGGAACTCTTTGTAAAAGCCATGGTGCTGCCAATCCTTGATTATGCTGATGTGACTTGGGGGGATAAATCCAACACCACTCTGATGAACAAGATCCAATTACTCCAGAATAAAGCAGCTAAATTAATTTTAGATATGCCAAAGCATTCATCAGCAACAGAAGCTCTTGATCTACTTGGTTGGGATACATTGGAAAAAAGACGAAGATCTCATCGTCTATTTTTGGTTTTTAAGTCCTTGAATGGACTAATTGATTGGAATTTTAATTTTAATCATTTTAAAGACATGCATGATTATAACACTCGTTTTAATAACAACATTTGTAAACCACAATCAAAGCGTACATGGGGTCAGCATCGGTTTGTTTGTCATGCAGTAGATGACTGGAACGCTCTCCCAGACGGCATTAGGAACATTTCCGATTTTTCAGTTTTTAGACGTCTTGTTAAAAACATGTAGTCTCTTCTATTGATTATGCCCTTTTATCCTTTTCTTGATAACCATATTTATATTTTCTGTTATCCTTACGTTAGATTTATGCAGGGCCTCACTGAAAACCACACTTTGTGACGTGGGCTCCCTGTCAAAAGATCTTACTTATTATTAAAGTTTTACTTACATATCAATAATTAACTTTTGCTATCAATTAATCTTCAGTGACCTATACGTATGAGGATAAGTGGCTTTTCCCTCAAGTTTTACACCAATACGTACTTATTTTGTCTTTTAAATGAATTTTTTTAGGAGAGTCTTGGGTTTTTAGTGATGAGATTTATATTTCCCTGAGAAACCCATTTTATGCACTTTAAAATGAGATACAGTAGGTGTTACTGCTGTAAATATTTTTTGAGATATTAATTCACAACCGAATGTTGCGTTTTTGGTTAATTTCTTTCAAATTACGTGGGTGCACATAAAATTCATAAAAAATTTACTATTTATTCCTTTTTTGTGAGATTTTCAGAAAATGTTGCTTACATGTTAATAATTAACTTCCAGTATCAAACAGTCTTCAGTAACCCATACTTATGAGGATAAGTGACTTTTACTTCAAGGTTTGCACCAATTTTTACGTATTTCTTCATTACAGCTTTTTCTGTAGGTGGATCCATTTTGTCACAGCCTTCAGTTGGCAAACTTAATAAGCCAATATTGCTTTTCTCTCTTTTATTTTTGTTTTAGTTAGTAGTCTCTCCTCAAGACCGGGATTATTATCATGTAAACAAGGGGTAAAAGATACAAGTTGTAGACTATTTGGAGGACCAATTCAGACATTTTAAGTCGTCAATTATTATTCGAGTGGTTGTCTTTGTGAAATTATCATCCTTTCAAGTGAATTCATTAAAGTAGCTTACAACTGTACTATGTGGTCTGTGTATCTGCTGCATCTAACATGCGTGTGTATTCGCTGGAAAAAAGGGTTTTCCTAAAACAAACTACATGCCCAGTGTTCAACCATCTTAGTGAACAGGTTTTATCAGAAAAGCAATGGAAAAATCAAAGTTTCACTTACCCAAATTTTTTGTCCATTGTGGGGACTGCTGTGTATCTTTTACACAACATGGCATTGTGAGGACATCACTTTTTTATACTGTAGAATACGTTTCTGGCCAAAACAAGTCGTTTTAAGGCAATGTAGTTTTGGGGACCAGATTTTGGTCCCCACAAAACGAACGGTCCCCACAGAGCAGGTATGTAACTATACGTGTGTCCCCATAAGTAAGCATGCGTAAGTACATACATACATACATACATACATACATACATACATACATACATATATACATAGTTTATTTGGTAACGCAGATTACAGAATACGCAAGACTGAAATCATGATGTGGACCTGCCTAACATTGAGAATTATGAGGCAGCCGAGAAGGAAGTTGAGATCGCGTGGGAAACGCGTTAAAATTGTAGTAACATGGCAGTCGTCTCAATAAACCTACATCAAGAGAGGATAAGAAATGGAAAAAATCAAACAAACAAAATAAAAAGAATAATAATAAAACTCAGTGTAAGCCGAGACCGCGTGTAAACTGGGCAAGAAGAATCTTGGTTGATTGCGCTAAGGATTGGGAACGAATTTCTTTAGCGACCAATCAGACCGAAGAACCGGGATATTTGAAACTGTACTTAACATGGCCGCCGATCTTGAGCAAATCATCCCAAGAGCTGAGGAGAGTTCGATAGAAAACCAGAGTACTGTGCGACAAGAAGGTAACAAAATAAGTGTAAGATTAGATATATTTCTAAGTCGTATTTCAAGGTTTGATGTGTTTACTTTTAGACTCCAACTCTACGGATTATCCCTGGCAAACAGAGTTACAGATAACTCATGACCGCAGAAAAATAAACGACATTCTAGAACGTAGAGGTTCAGAGATTCGAAATATCTACGCGAGGAGCCAGAATTCAGGTACTGCTTGTTAAAATGACGAGTTACTTCAAGGTCGTGTTTGTTTGTTTGTGCTCTTTTTTAAATCTCTATAACTAAATACTAGTACTTGTCGACGTCCGTTTCACGGGAATCATAGCTTTAGGTTCCTAGTTCACTTACCAGTCAGGGCCCAGTAATTCAAAGGGCAGATAATGATATCTAATGAAAAATCGCCATTTGAACAAAAAGTACTGTGATATCTACCGGATGCTATTTCCTTCATGACGTGAATTACAGTGATGTTGAAGGAAGCCCTTAACCACCATAGCTTGAAACTTTCAGTTAACATTTAAACTCTTATGATTGGTAGACATCTAATTTCTCCTAACAATATCACCCGTGAATCAAGCAATAAGGTCATAAGAATAAAGGAAATAATCACTACCAACGAAAGAAACTCTTGATTGTTAGACAAAATATTCTTGTAAGTACCATATAGGATATAGAAATTAAGAAACGAACGAGTGAGCGTAGCGAACGATTTTTTTTTTTATTTTTATACATCGCAACGAGTGAATAAAAATCGTTCAAACACTTTCCATAGTATGATGATTTTATTTCACACATAGTAGTTATATTCTTACTGACCGACACACGTTTCAAAGATTGGAAGCGAACGACTGTGAAAATACATCGCTCGTCCAATCAGAGACACAAACAATAATACTTCACAGTGTAAATCTCGGTATGTATAAAATGAAATAAATGTATAGAGAACAGTATGGACAAGTTGCATACTGATGTTAGGTTGTAAACGGCACACCTGTGATTTGTTTGTTTGTTTGGTTTTATTTTTTTTTTCACAGTAGAGGACTGCCACCTCCTCGAGAGAGAATGGTTAGCCTTGGTAACAGAAAAAGATAAGAACCTTCGCCAATAAATTGAAGAGGTAAAGGATATTTTTAAATTTGTTACAGAAACCAAATTATCTTGTTATAGTCCCTCCCCTCCCTCCTGCTGATGCAGCACCACGTTTTTTTATAGAAACTTACCCTTGTTATTCAATACTTTTCATCCTCCGATTCATGAGCTACTTCTAAGTAACAGCCCTTGTGGAGTATTAGCAAAGGGAAACTATCCGTGAATAAAGCAAAAACTTTTGTTGCTTTTCCTTCATATTTGAGTGTAATTGACACCAATCCTGATTCACAAACTACATTTGACATGTATGTTCAATTATCTATGCCTAGGCTATTGTTACAGCTACTGCATGGAACACGAGTACAATTTTCAAAGAAAACAGCTGTTGACCAATCAACAGCTTTTAATTTTTGTATGAACCTAACCTACTGCCCATGGGGGTCCAAAACAAAGACAATAAATTATCGTTTTTAACTTTATGAAACATGTACCAAAAGACACGACAGCCCTCCCAATTAACTCCCAATTGCCAAAATTCTGTAAAGAACTATTTAATTTTTTTGTTTTTAATTTTTGATTTCACATTTTCTTTTGAACCAGGAGAATGAACTGGCCAAGAGAAATCAGATCAAGAAACTTCATCAGGTTCTTGAATCCCTGGGAACATTCACCTTCAGCAGACCAAATGAAGCCATTTTGAAGCGAAATCTGGCAAAGATGTACCATCAAATCGGCAAATACTGCAGCAGGAATCAGATAGATGTGACAATGAAAGGCAACAACAATACTGTTAAGACCTCAGAAAGTCCCAATGAAAACATTCATGCTCCCCCACCACCGCCCCAAACACTGATACCCCCTCCCCCACCCCTTCCACCTCTGACCCCCCTTACAAGTTTCAAAGCTGCATCTCAAAATAATGCTAGAAACCCTTCAAGAAAGAGAGGTGCTTTGACTACAAAAAACAACCCAACTACCCCATGTGACCAAAGAAATGAGGAACTTCTTAAGAGGATAAGGGGGGGTTGTAGATCAGAGCTAAGGAGAACACCCTTTAAGCGTTCCCCTGGTGGTACGCCATTTAAAAGGCAGAGGCGAGTATCAGATAGTGATGGCTCTTATTTGATAACAGTGGCATTGAAGAAAAAATTTCAAAATGTAACTTTCCAAAGCCCCAGAGAAAATGACTCTCTAAGATCTTTTACTTCTTTTGAAGACTTGCAACAAAATTAAATCAATGTGTATGAAAAACAATTTCAAGTTTTTGAATGTGAAATTCCAAGAGCAAACATTTTATTACAATTATCATTTAAAGTTGACATGATGCCTATAGAGAGATACCCAAAAAAAAAAATTGTATCAGATCATAGTTGGAATGTTTAGGAAGTTAACATGAAACAATTTTTACAAATTCATCTTTTGTTTGTGATATTACATGTTTCTCAGTCCTGATCTGGAGATGAACGTGTCCTTGCCTAATCCTTTAAAATCTTTAAAATAACATGACAGAATTTCTCCATAAAATAACGATGCAACATCAAGCAGATGAGTGATGAGAAAAAAGAAAAATATCAATAAGGGCACTATAAGGTGATCCAATACCAAATTCTCCAAACTAACAAGATAAGTATTGTATGATAGACAGTAAGAAGAATTGCTATCAAGATCCTATGAGTTAAAGGGTTAAATTAAAGGCATTTATTTTTTTCAGGACATGAGCAGAAACAAAACTGTCATCTCTTGTTATCTTGTGTTCGATCTTCTTGGCTAAATTCCTTCTCTATGGATTCTATCAATGAACTGGTGGTAGCTTTCAGAATTTGTTTCCTGTAAGATGTAAATTAAATTCTAAAATAGGTTAAATATAATTTAGCTGAGAGGCAAATACATAAAGTGTGTCTGCGATTACTGATTCCAAGATGAACAAACAAACAAGTATTCCAAATAAACATTAATGAGTGTTTGAAAATCCCAACTAGCAGGAAGCAGATTAGTTGGCTATTTGCACAATGCAGGCGAAGAGTTGAACTCTGGGCAATCAAGAACAACTCAGTAAGTAGTGGGGAAGAGGACCTGAATCCAGGGTCAAAAGATTATACTCCGCCACATTGCCTCCTTCAAAACTAAAGTTATCACAATGTTTGGTTTTGTAGATGAAAAAAAAAAAATCTGTTGAACAAACAGAAGAGCAAGGACACCCATCCCTTTAAGGGCTTGCTTGAACAGAATAAAGCTAATAAAATATAAAATTCACAATGGATTAACTTAGGGTGAAAATAAAACATAACATACTGCTCTTCTTTTTCAACACTGCATTCCTCAGGTTGCTTTCTGTTCAGTTTGTATTCCTCTGGTAGAATTGCATTTCCAGCCTGTGCAAGTATTCCAAGGGGCAAACTGAAATTTAGAAAGTTAGAAGAGTATGAATTTAATTTATTTGGTGCTGTACAGTTATAAAACCACTGTCCAAGTTATACTGTACATTGGATAGTCAGAACAAATTAACTTAAAGGTGATCAATTAAACCAATTTTTGATTCACTCTAGAAAGATGCATCATTCAGCAACAACTTAATAAATGACCCACAGTTTTTGTCAAGTCTAAGATAATAAAAATTACTGTTTGTAACAGACATCAATTTAATGTCAATTCCATGTTTTATTCCATCTGATCAACTACCCTCAGTACACTGGTCAAATGCATATATCTTATTAACTAAGCACGAGGACCGCACTGGGAGAATATTGGCCCGAGGTCTTGACAGTACGGACTGAGCACAGTGAGGTCCGTACAAAAAAGACAGAGGGCCAATATTCTTCCAGTACGGTCCCGAGCAAGCTTGGTTAATAAGAGATTTATTACACGACTGAAGTTCAAAGGGACACAAGTGCAGTGTCATTCGGGACAGTGCCCAGTCCAATACTGAGAGAATATTGACCGGCAATAGAGCATTTTGATTGGTTGATTTTAGTTATTGGCCCTCTGACTTCCCGAGTCATGTAATAAAATACCATAAGGAAAATCCTTGCAAACAAGCAAGTGTCCTTGTCTGTAATCTTGAAAAAAATGCTACAATATCCACAATGATTCCATAATGTTCTATTCCTTCTATGCAAGTCTCGTTAAACAATTCTTATTCAAAATATAAAGGAAAAAAGAAAAACAAGCAATAAAAATACATGTGTGCCGAGGTTTGATGTGCTGGGTGTCAAGTGACTAAGTTTCGGCAGAGACTGGACCTAGTGCACTGAAAACCTAACATTTCCACTGTTGTACTATCTTCTATTGACTGTATCATGTTCAATAATATAGTCAGTTCATTTTCTTTTCAACAAAACTTGCCTACCTCAAACCACCTCCAAGTGCTGCTCCAACAGCCATTTTACGCCACCCGGATAATATGTTATACAAAACACCAGTTGAGGCTGTTATGTTCAAAGCAAAATGTTGTGGCAAATTAATTAACCTGATTAATAATACACTTTTAGTGAAATATTTTCATCACAGAAATAATAGAATTGTGAGTTTTTATTCTAAGAAAAGACATTTTACAAACTAGGTACCAAATAGAGTGATTTCCCTATTTAGACTAACCTCCACTGGCCATAAAATTCAGTGCATCATATCTGTTGCGATAAGCCTCTAGGGCAACCACAAGAAAGCTACATTTAAAAGTAAAAGAATATAATTTTTTTTTTCATTTGAACTAAACCTGAAACAATTTATTTCTATAAATATTGGAGTAGAACTGTCCATTTGTGACCACCTTGTGATTTAGATTTTTTCTTGTAGCTTTGAATTTGTCTCATGGGAGGTTAAGAGGGTCTCTATTATCAATTCAAGTAGATTCAAGTAAAGTAAGATCATTATAATCCCATATATCCTTTGAAAATCAATTGAATATTGCTCCTAGACTTGTAGTAATATTAACAGAAAGGTCAAGTCTGCTCTTAAACCTACTAACTTGCACCATTAGAACGTATCCCTGTTTCAACAGCAAGAATAGCCTGCGTAGCGGCCCTAAAGGGAGGGGGGAAGGGGATGGGGAGCCAAGCAGAGAGAGGCTTGGGGAGAGGAAGGAAGTGGAGTTATAACCAGCACAACGGTTCGTTTATCGTTGTTGGCCTCGAAGCGTGCAAGCAACACTTGAGCTTGGAAAATTAAACTTTTTCCAAACCCAGTCCGCAAAATAGCTACAAGATCCTTCTTTTTGACATAGAGCTGTTCCAAAGCTTGGCGCTGTTCATTTTTCAGATTGATTCCCCATTGTTCTAGGATGTTTTTCAATGTATTCTCATCAAAGTTAGCCTGCATGTACATCCTTGCATTCAAGAAGGGATTGCAATTTTTGTTCGTTTTTAAGTTGAACACAATTCAGTTTGCTTGCACAAACTTTAGAAATTACGGTATCAAAATTCGTTCTGAAAGTATTACTTTTTAACTATGATTTAAAAAGAGATTTTGTGTATAAACTGTAACTACTGAATTGACCGAGGCTCGAAGGTTTCACACCTTAACTCGAAAAACAATGCCACGGTTTGATTGACAGGCGATTGACCAATGGGAATTTTACGTTCACGAGATAAATGTTTTGAGAGGAATGCGGGCCTCTCGTAGCAGGCCCTTCCTTTCCTCTCCCTAAGCCTCTCTCCGCTTGGCTCCCCACCCCCTTCCCCCCTCCCTCTAGGGCCACTACGCAGGCTACAGCAAGAAGTGCCAACGAGTGCTACTCTTCCCCCCTGGATGGGATGGATACAGGTAGACCCCTTAAGACAGTTTTCTGCAACCTGTTTGAACTCTTGAGGAACAGAGAGAAACATGATCTTTCCCAAGAACACAACACAATGGTTTAGTTTGGGCTGCAATTTAGACCTTGATTCTGGGTCCAATAAACTAACCGCAAGTCTACTGAATATCCAATGTTAACTCGGGAAATTTTAGAAATGATTGAAGTATTCACTTGAGCCAAGAGGTCCTCCATAGCACTAAGCCACTAATAGTATTGCTACTCAACCCTGGAAGGGATGCCAGTCCATTGCAGATTAATTCACCTGCAGCATTTTGTCAGGCTTCCCTGACAGTTAACCCCTACCCCTTTCTTCTCCTGGGTGTAGAGAGGCACTGTAAAAGTAAAGCGTCTCTTTAATAATACAGCACAATTGCCTGGCCAAGTCTCAAACTAATACCTCTCATTGCAGAGCCTAGTGTGTTGACCTTAAGGTCACTGCATCTCGCACAACACTCACCTGTAAACACCCGCAAAGGCACCAGCTCTCCATCCCCAGCGCCATCCATACTTAACAAATCCCACAACTACAGATGCATGATAGCGACGCTGAGCGTGCATTACAGATTCATACACAGTCAACTGGTTGTGTCGTCGAAAGCTGTCATCTACAATTCGATAACCAAACCGACCACCAAAGACAAAGGCAAAAACAGTTGTTGTAAACATGACTGTTCTTATTTGTTCCATCTCTGGACAAAGTCCCTTTTCATAGCCTCTGTTGAGGAAAAAATGTTGTACATGTCTCCAGGCTGTTTAAACTTTGTTTAGGTGGGGGAAATATTACCTTTCCTTTAACCCTTTAACTCCAATGAGTGACCAAGACAGAATTTCTCCTTACAATATCAACATAAAGCAGACAAGCGGTGAGAATAAAGAAAAATGTCAGTTAGGAGATTATTAGTTGATCCAATATCAAATTCTCCAAAGCAACATCATCAGAATTGTATGGCAGAGGGTAAGGAGGATTACCCACGAGATATTAGGAGTTAAAAGGTAAACAAAAGTGTTCATAGCAGAGCAAAGGTTTTTCAATGTACCAGTGTACTATTGATTCAAAGTATTCATTATTAACAATTCTATCGATATCAACACGTTTGTGGCAGTTTTACTGCCAAGGCTTTTTGAAATATGTAAAAAGTCAGTCCTACCTTAATTTAAAAAATGCTTTCAAGAATTTATGCCATCCATCTTTATCAAGATGCTCATCACTCTGTCTAAAGAACAAAACATAAATATAATTCATCAATGAATTTGAATATATGAAAATCATGCATCTACTGCAGTTTCATGAAATGTATGATGAAGAGCTCATTTCATCTCAGAATTGTTACCAAATGAATGTATTTTCAGCATATCACTATTGATGAAAAGATTGACTTTCTGTGTGTGCAATGAGTTGTTAGCGACCTAATTTTAGTGTACTGAGAAACCGAAAACTAATTTATAAAATCAATAGATTTCAAAATCTATTATTCCATCTCATCACATCCTTCTCCAGAAGAATAATCCAAAATAATGATCCAGAAGAATTATCCAGCCGAATAATCCGCCAGAATTATCCAGAAAAACAATCCTGCAGAATTATCCCGCAGATTTATTCTAACAATGGAGTAAATTTTTTAAACAAACCCTTTTATTAAAAGGGCAATCCTAAAAGTCAGAACAGTGGAATGGCAGAATGGTTGGAAAATGACCCCAAATCGTAAAACATGGAACAGCGGAAAATGACCCCAGGTGGGATGGGGGGGCGGTAAAGGGGGGGAAACATGACATTAGTGATGGTCTCTATCGCACCCACCTGATTTCAAACAATGCTTCTACTCTATGCCAACCAGTTTCTTCTTGAGATTCACCATTCTCCAACATTCTAGTAGTTAATTGAAAAAATGCCTTTAAGCTTGAGTAAAACATACCACAAAAAGAGAAAAACACTCAAAGTTTGAACAGCGGTAAAAGTGGTTACTTTTCGACTTAAATCAATGATTTCAAGCTTTCAGGGGCTAATTAATGCAGTCTTCCAGAAAACATACCGATAGCGTGTTTTCTAAGCTAAGTGCGCGACAACATGGTAGATCTTGTGGTGAGAACATTATACATTTTTTAGACTTTTCAAACCTTTCTTTGTAGAAGGGTTCCTTGAATCTCTCCCATAGTGTACATTTTGAAAGATCTTCGTCACCTTTTACAGACATCTTCCTTCTTAAATATTGTCCTCACGTGTTTTTGTAGTCAGGAAATGAACTAGGTAATTTTCGAGCATTGTTAACTGTACATCTTGGAATCAGGCGAAAAAACAACAATTGGAAATAAAACTCTCATGAAATAAACCTAAGTATTCATTGCAAGTCAATCAAGGGCGAGGCATTCAATAAAATAAACAGCCTTTAAAATTGACCACAGTTCAGGAAGCCATCTTGGCCGACAAGTGTAGGGAACTGAGACCAAACCTAAACCCTAGTGCCAGTCCCTGAGTGGCCCACCGTATTTACTCTTGGCGCTTGCCTCTAATGCGGCATTTATTTCAAGGACCGAGTATTCCAAAACTTGACGCGACTCCGAAATATCTTTTTGAAATTTTTGCGGTACATTTTTTATCCGGCAAGAATCTAACAAAGGTATTTTCTTGATCTGGCATAGCCTACTTGAAGTAGCACCCACCCCCTCCCCCGAAAAGTGAGTGGTAAACTTAGACGAATTTCTTAGAAATCTTGAATGTCAAATAGGCCTTTAGGTATCAAATGTGATTGGTCAATATTTATAGCGTTTCAGTCGGAAGACAACTCTGTTTTATTATTCTGTTTCATTATTCTGTTTTATTAATTTTTTACTATACAAAGCAATAGCCGTCCCTTCAAACTGTTAGTCATGGATATCAAAACCTTGCTTGAAAATCTTCATGAAGAAGTTTCCTGTTCTGTGTGTTTGACCACATTTACTGAACCAAAACAGCTGCCATGTTTGCACAACTTCTGCCTTCACTGTTTAACCGGAATTCAACGAAACAGTGGCCGCCATGATGTTATTACATGTCCTGAGTGTCGCAAGGAAAGCCAAGTCCCAGGAGGAAACCTAAGAGATCTGCCAACCAACTTTCGCATCAACAGATTACTAGATGTGTTGGCCATAAAGCAGTGCAGTTCTACTGGAGTCAAATGCAGAAACTGCGACAAAACAAGAGTGCAAAGTTTCTACTGTTTTCAGTGCTGTACATTCTGGTGTGAAGAGTGTATCACTGTGCATAACTTACTCAAAGCAAATAAAGATCACCGAGCTCTTGCACTGAAAGATTTTGAAGATCAAGACATCGAGGATGTCTTGAAGCGACCAGCATTTTGTTCCCGACAAGGCCACGAAAAGAAAGAGCTGGAGTTCTTCTGTGAGAAATGTGAAGAAACTGTTTGTTCTTCATGCGTTGTAACCGCTCACGATGGACATGTTAAAGTACTATTAGAAGAAGCGGCCAAGAAAAAGAAATCGCTAGTCGTGTCCACGATTGAATCCAACAAAGCAAAAGCACAAAGGATGAGAAACA